CGTGATCTACATCGCACTGCCGTTGTAGAAGTTTTTGCTCCTTCTGCTTTATGCGAACGCTTTATATTCGATGCCGTGTGGTCTCAATCATGCTTGACGTGTTCCGCTGTAATTAAAATGCGCTCACCCACAATCCGCCGCGACCTTAATAACATGCTAATTATCCACCCATTCCCTTTATGTGCTATTCAGAAAAACATACAAAGACAGTTTGCAGTTCAATAAGCGGTCAAAACGTCTGTGGTAATAATAAGTTCTGCATGATTTGCCGCCATCGCCTTGGAGCCAGGTTGTTCGTGAATGGAAAGAGAAAGAATGACATGTTTTTCCAAATCGATGCTATTCAGAGTTTTCACAATCCAACCCGACAAAATATCTTCATCACAAAAAAGATCTGTACTTACGTAGGTGCATCCAGCCGGCCAGTCCTATACGGTTGTGAGTGCGAGGCTGTGCGCATGTAAACTAAACAAAAAAGGTATTCAGTCAGCGCTGCTTAGGAACCATCTTTCGACTTCGTCTTAAATGACACAGTCCGCACTCAGTGTGACGTCAGAGCATACCGTACTTCTCCCATGAAAGACAACTGAGGGGCTTTGGGCATGTTCTTCATCACCTATCTCACTAGCCCCGTGTTGCTGCCATCAATCCGGTACCGTTACCTATTTGGAGGCGTTGAAAAGTGAGTCAATTAAGAACCTGGCGCGACTCAGCTCGTTAAGCTGTGGGAGAGGTTTTTGGGCCTTCGGCGAAGAAAATTAGCTAAATTGTCTAGATCCATTGGCGTGAATCAGCATGCCTAGAAAGTTACCATTCGCGATCGCTGGATCAGGCATGGTCACAGATGCAACAAGTAAAAATAAATACTTTTGCCTAAAGAAAGACAATGTTCAAACTACTAAAAGAAAGTGACCTCGAGATCTGCCCCAGGTCGAGCCCTATAATCGTTTTTCGAACCAAGTTCCTGTCCTCGAGACAACGGTTGCGGGAAAAATGCATCTATTGTCTTCACTTTTTCGATATCACAATGCCATCATCCATCTTTTTTTTCGCTGACTCTTGCGACTGTAGGTCTACGGCCGATTATTCCTCAGGCGCAAGTCCGTTCCACAGAAGCAGTCCATGGCTCAGAGGAATCAAGAGCCGACTGAGGATATAAGTAAAAATCAGGAAGACTCTGGACAATCTGTCTGTATGGCCTGCTAGCATCCCCTGTGCGGTTATGTTATTGATTTCATGGATAATCTTTACTACTGGTTACATCGGTAATCTAGTACTCAGTCTGATAGATATGGTCTTTGTTTTACGGAGTAATTGAACCCCAAAAGCGCCACCGTAGATCATCGAGCGTTGAGCGGGATGGATCTGGAACGACCACAGAACACGGGAAAAGCGGATGGCGGCCGTCCAATTTTGCATTAGCCCGACCTCAAACAATCATCCTCATCTTCAACTAAGCTTAAGCAGACCAGATGAAAATTGTTGAGGGCCCGCTCACGATATTGAGGGATTCAACTTAAATTGACCCGTTTGAGCGTTCCTATCAAGTAACTGAAAAAAGGTGTTGACTTAACGCTGATTATACTGTCCAGCGTACTCT